GCTGGAGACGAGCTGCGCGGATCAAGTCGATCAACACCTCAGTGACATCGCTCTTGCTGCGCAAGGGGAAGACTGTGGTGTAACGCGAGTAGTCGTCAACCACCAGCAGAAAGTAGCGCTCGTGACCCTGTCCACGGACGCGGGCCGGGCCCCACACGTCCATGTGAAGCGTCTGCAGCGGGGACTCTGTCGGGGGAAACGGAGAGGAGTGAGGAGCAGCCCGTAGCCGCCCCTCGACACAGGGGACACAGGAAGGACCAGGCCTCGAAGGAAGGGGAGGGAGGGACCGGGGAAGACCAGAGACAAGGACACGGGAAGCCATGCCTCGGAGACGAGGCAGGGAGGGGTGACCAAGACGGTGGTGCCACAAGAGAGTCTCGTGAGACAGGAGGCGACACGAGCAGGGGGCAGACTCAGGACCAGACCTGGACGCTGCAGCAAACACCTGACCAGATGCAGCTACCTGACCAGACGCAGGGACAGGAGGAGACTCAGTGGTCAGGGTGTAGAGGCTCGACCCCGGCCGACGCGTAAACGTGGCCAGGTGCCGGCCTGTGCGAGCGTCCGAGCAGTGGGTCACCCGCTAACTCGCAGGAGTAAACTGGTGAACCCCCGCATCCTGCAGGTCAGCACCACTCACCAAGTTCGTAGAGAACGAGGGGAGGTAAAGACCAGACAAGGTGCCAGAGGGGGCACCCGGACACGGGAGGACAGTCGAGAAGTGAGAGAGGACAGGACCCCCAGAGGGGTCTGCCAGGGAGACTGCAACCGGCCGACCAAGCGGCGTGAGTGCGGTGCGGTATCGAAAGAAGGAGCGAGAAGCCCCTGAGTCAAGTGTGAAGGTGAGGGAGGCCGAAGCCGACGTGGTACCTGAGAGCACAGACTCACCAGTACCTGAGGACGCAGACGCACTGGCACCTAGAGCAACAGCCGCACTAGCACCTAGAGCAGCAGCGTCACCAGCACCTAGAGCAGCAGTCTCAATGCCCGGATCGGGCGGGAAACACCGGTAACAGTCCCCCTCGTCACTATAAGTCACAGCAAACATGGCAGCAAGAATAGCATCAAAGTCAAGATCAAAGATAGCTACACCTGCCCTAGACAGCTCTCCCCAGCGGGGGATCTCAGCGGCCTCCGGGAACTGGTGACGCCAAGCGTCCGTCAGGCGGCCAAAGCAGCGCTGGGTGGAGTGGGCACCCCCACACTGCTCACCCGCGCGGTCGCTGGTGCGAAGGACGTAGGTACACGGACCAAAACCCCCACCACGCTGACGCGCAGCGTACCACTCACGGAGCTGCTGAGGGGTGGGGATGTCCCGAGAACGCTGTTGCTGCTGCTTCTGGCGCTGACCACCACCGGAGCCGCTCCGCTGCAAAGCGCCACCCCGACCAGCTCCACCTCCTCCACCACCGCCTCCTCCACCTCCGCCACCACCGCCGCCTCCGCTCCCACCGCTACCGCCTCCGCCGCCTCCGCCTCCACTGCTGCCACCGACACCTCCACCCCCGCCACCACTCCCACCGCCACCCCCACTCCCTCCGCCGCCTCCACCGGCACCTCCGCCACCCCCGCTAGCTCCACCCGCGCCCTTGCCCCCTTTGCCCTTGCCAGAGCGGCGTCTCCCGCTAGGGGCAGACGCCGCACCGACCGACTCAAGAGCAACAAGGTCGGCCGCAGCAGCAGAGGCGTCAGAGGGCAAAAGGGGGAAAGGGGAACACCCCTCAAAGATAGGGGTGCGAGGGTCACCACAAGAGGCTCCTACAGCGACTATGCTCTTCTCCGCTGCTAGGAGGGCCTTCTCTAGGAGGTCAACAGTGAGAGTGGTGGGACAGACCGAGAGGAAGTGGTCCCTGACTACACGAAGGGAGTCAGGGAGGCGGGTGACTATATAATAGAGAGTGATGTACATGGGGGGGTGGTTCTTGGCGCAGAACTCAGCAGGAAGCGCAGCGCGGTAGCGAGTGTCGCTAGTGCGGAGGTGCGTAATGAGGTCAGCGACTGTGGGAAAGGCAGCAAGGTCAGAGAAGAGGTATGGCAGCATGAGGCGGCTCAGTGCAGCAGTGGCAGGGGAAGAGTAGCGCGCAACTACGGCGTCGTACAAGGTCTGAGCACTCTTGTACTGACTAAAGTGTGCGCGCTCAGTGGTAGGCAGGTGGCGACGCACAGCAAGTCGTGCAGCAGTATCGCGAGTGGCCCACTGGGAGCGAACAGTGGCGTCGGCATCGGCAGCAGGGGCAGGGGAGGCACCAGAGGTGAGGTCAAAGAGGGAGAGACCGTCTGCCCTATCGCACTGTAGGAAAAGTTGCAGGTCATCTACCCAGACCTCAAAGTCAATGGCCCGACCCTCAGCGTCAAAAGCGAGAACACTGGGGGTGGCCATGACAGCAGTAGGCTAGCAGTGCTAACTGTAGGACAGGGGCAGTGCAATGACAGAAGCGCTGCTCTCACCAGACAGGGCGGTTCGGCCAGCTCGGCAGCACAGCAGCACGTCAACACGGCGGCTCGGGCGACTCGGGCGGCTCAGCAGCAACTGCGGCTCGGCGGCACCAGCGGCTCGGCTCCTCTGCGGCTCAGGCGGCTCGGGCGGCTCGGGCGGCTCGGGCGGTTCGGGCAGCTCGGGCGGCTCGGGCGGAACGGACGGCTCGGGCGGCTTGGGCGGCTCGGGCGGCTCGGGCGGCTCGGTAGGGCGGCGGGGCCGCAGCGAAGGGCGGCGGGGCCGCAGCGAAGGGCGGCGGGGCTGCAGTGAATGGCGGCGGGGCCGCAAGGTAGGCGGCGGGGCCGCAGCGAGAGGGGCGGCGGGGCCGTAGTGAGAGGGGCAGCGAGGCCGCAGCGAAGGGCGGCAGAGCCGCAAGGTAGGCAGCGGGGCCGCAGCAAGAGGGGCGGCGGGGCCGCAGCGAAGGGCGGCGGAGTCGCAAGGTAGGCGGCGGGGCCGCAGCGAGAGGGGCGGCGGGGCCGTAGCGAAGGGCGGCGGGGCCGCAAAGAAGGGCGGCGGGGCCACAGCGAAGGGCGGCGGGGCCGCAGCGATGGGCGGCGGGACCGCAGTGAAGGGCGGCAGGGCCGCAGCGAAGGGCGGCGGGGCCGTGACAGGGCGGCGTCGGGGCCGTAGGGCGAGGCGACGGGGCCGTAGGGCTAGGCGACGGGGCCGCTAGGACGATGGGGCCGCCAGGGCGACGGGGCCGCTAGGGCGGCGCGACGCAGTGAGAGAGAGGAGCGCGACTCGGCCTGAGCGCGCTCTGGGCAGGAAAAAAAATCGATGTGGTGTGCCCTAGGCACAGTTCTCACTAGGGAACCTGCTCTGATACCACGAGAAGACTGAAACGAGAATGATTGACTAAGGAACGAAAGTGATACAAATATGCAACCCTAGAAATGTGTACCCCATATAGGCTACCCTACTATAGCCTACACAACATTATAATTTGACAGTTTGGCGCGCGACGGTTTACTTGCACCCGTGCGCCGCCCCGTGGCACCCGCGCGCCGCCCCGTTCACCCGCGCGCCGCCCCGGTGCACCCGCGCGCCGCCCCGTGCACCCGCGCGCCGCCCCGGTGCACCCGCGCGCCGCCCCATGCACCCGTGCGCCGCCCCTCTGTAGCCACGGGGCAGCTTCTTCCCCGCCCCCCCGGCCCCCCCTTCTCCTTCCTCTCCCTGCTGCGTGTGCAGCCGTGGGGGGGAGGGTATGGGGGTGGCGGGTATGGGGGTGGCAGGTGTGAGTAATCTGCTGCTCCTCCTCTCTCTCCCACTGCTGCAGCTGCCGCTAAGGGGGGGAGGGTGTGGGGGAGCCGAGGGAGTGGCGCTAGGGATGCAGAAGGGGGTGTGGAAAGGGGGTGTGTGACAATGTGGGAGGATGAAAAGAGGTAGCCGCCATGAAGCCTGCAGCTCCAACAGTCCGGATGCCCTTTCTCCGGTAGCCCGCGAGCCCATTGCTCCAGTCGCTTGTGGGTCAGTTGCTCCAACCGCTCGACTAGCCGCGGAGCCAGTTACTCCAGTAGTCCGGATGCCCTTGCTCCGGTAGCCTGTGTGCGAGTTGCTCCAGTCGCCCGTGTGCCAGCAGCTTCAGCTGCCGCCTCCTACCTCCTCTCCTCTCATAGTCCCCCCTCCTCCTCCTCTCTTGCCCTCTAGTTCTGCCACTAGCCTTTGCTTATGACCTAGTCATGCGATTGCTTGTTGTGTTGACTATACTCCACTTCGCCGTCGTCTTCGACGAATCCGTCCCCTATTACTCCACTCCTCCCCCTGATCCTCTCCCTCCTCCCACTCGTCCCCTTGCTTGGACCGACACCGTCCTCCCGCCCCTTCTCCCTCCAGCCCCTCTCCTCCCACCCGTCGCAGCTCCGCTCCCGCCCTCCTCCTCCGCCGATGTCTACGACCCTGCCGCACCCGCTTCCCCCGCTCACTCGGTCGCACCCCCTCCCCCCCCCTCCCTCCCCCTCTCCCTCTCCCTCCTTCGAGCAGCCGGATCAGCAGCAGCAGCAGCAGCAGCAGCAGCAGCAGCAGCAGCAGCAGCAGCAGCAGCAGCAGCAACAGCCGCAGCAGCAACAGCAGCAGCAGCAGCAGCAGCAACCGGGACAGCAGCCGGGGCAGCAGCAGCAGCCGGGACAGCAGCAGCAGCAGCACCCGGGCCAGCAGCAGCAGCAGCAGCCGGGCCAGCAGCAGTAGCAGCAGCGGCAGCCGGGACAGCAGCAGCAGCGGCAGCCGGGACAGCAGCAGCAGCAGCAGCAGCAGCAGCAGCAGCGGTTGTTAAAATATATATTGTGTAGCATGCCAACACATGTGACTGTACACCAATTGTGGTGTACAGTTGGGTTGGGACTACACCCAACTTTGGGTGTAGTCTTGCACTTTGGGGTGCCAATCCACCCAATTGTGGTGGAGCCCCCAAATGCAACCCTCTTGACTTGAGGGTACCTCACTTCCCACAATTGAGGTTCCCCCAAGCCAAGTGGGCCTAGGGTTGCCTCACTTTTACAAAGTATGGGCAACCCAACCCACTTGACCTATGGTTCCCTCATCCCCCCAAGTGAGGTCAACCCAACCTATGGTCACTTTGATCCTTCCCTTCCATCCTTCCTTTCCAACCTTTCCTTCCAACCATGTATGCTAGGTTGTTCCCCTAATCTAATCACTTTTTGTTCAATTCACAATCTTCACATGGTATAGAGCTAGTTGTTCCTAAGCCTTTCTCTCCTTCCCTCGAAGTTTTTTTTCCCTCATGAGCCCACCCCACAGCCACAAACCCCCTACGTGTGGCTCAACCTAGCACTTCCTTGGCACGACCTACGCCGTCGCCACTCTTCCCTCCCTCCGCCGTGATTGCACCCTCCTCGCCTGCGGATCCCACCGCTGCGAGTGCATCATCGCCCCCCGTCGTCGCGACACACCGTCGCTGCCCCCCCTCCCCCCTTCTTTTTTCCGCCGCCGCGCCTTCTCTGGCGCCGCCTGCGCATCCCGCCGCGACGCGTCGTCGCCGCCTCCTCCTCCCCCTGCCGCGACCCCCCGTCGCCGTCTCCCTCCCGCCGCCGCGCCTACTTCGGCGTCGCCCGCGCATTCCCCCGCCGCGACACCCCGTCGTCGCCTGCCCCTCCCGCTGTCGCGACGTCGCATCGCCGCCTCCCCCTACCGCCGCCGCGCCTTCCTCGGAGCCGCCTGCGCATCCCGCCGTCGCGACGCCCCGTCGTCGCCTCCCGTCCCGCCGCCGCGACATCGCGTCGCCGCCTGCGCTCCCCATCGCCGCGACCCCCTCGTCGCCCCCTACGCATCCCGCCGCCGCGACCCGCTCGTCGCCGCCCGCACGATCCGCCGCCGCGACTTCCCGTCGCCGCCTACGCATCCCGCTGCCGCGACCTTCTCGTCGCCGCCTGCACGACCCACCGCCGCGACTTCGCGTCGCCGCTTGCACGACCCGCCGCCGCGACTCCGCGTCGCCGCCTGCGTATCTCGCCGCCGCAACCTTCTCGTCGCCGCCTGCACCCCTTGCCGCCGCGACCTAAAGTCGCCGCCCGCGCGATCTTTTCCTGCGACCTGCTCGTCGCCGCCCGCACATCCCGTCGCCGCGACCTAAAAATCGCCGCCCCCGCATCTTACCGCCGCGACCTATACATCGCCGCCCACGCATCCCGTCGCCGCGCCTTCCTCGTCGCCGCCCGCGCATCCCGCCACCGCGCCCTCCCCGTCGCCGCTCGCGCATTCCGCCGCCTTGAATCCCTCGTCGCCACCCGCACATCCCGCCGCCGCGCCTTCCTCGCAGCAGCCGCCTCATCCCTCAGCAGCAGCGTCATTGGCAGCAACAGCCCCGCCCACACCTACACCTGCGTTCTCCCTCCCACTCCCCCTTTCCTCTTCCTCTCCTCCCACGCAGCAGCAGCCGAGACACCTCAACAGCCACAACAGCAACACCGGCAGCACCGGCAGCAGCGGCAGCGGCGGCAGCAGATGCATCCACCATCTTCCTCCCCCTCCTCCCCTCCCCCCCCACCCCCCCCCTCTCCTCCCTCTTAGCAGCAGCAGCGGCATCAGCGGCAGCATCGGCAGCAGCGGCAGCAGCAGCAGCAGCGTCAACAGCGGCAGCATCGGCAGCTGCGGCAGCATCAGCAGCAGCCGAAGAAGACCTCCACTCCCCGCAGCAGCACCCCCCCCCCCCTCCCCCCCCCCCGCCCTCCTCCCTCTCGGCTGCCGCGCGTCCACCCGCCGTCGCCCTCCCCCTTGACCGCCGCGGGTCCACCCGCCGCCGTCCACCTCTAGGCCGCCGCGGGTTCACCCGCCGTCGCCCCTCATGGCTACCACTCCTCCCCCTCTCCCTCCTCCCATTGACGCCTCCTCCGTCGACAAGCTTCAGCTTGCCGCGGACCGCTCGGCGATGAATTGGCATTCCTTCGTCAGGAGCATCCGCCATGTTCTCCAAGATGCATTCGTCGGACCCTACTGCGTCATCGACGTCCTCCTCCGCCGCCCGCAAGCCCTCCAGCCCACGGCACCCAATCACCCCGGCGAACCCCCTCCACCCCCCATTCCTCCTGGTCCTCCTCCTACTGAACCCACCTTGGAGATCGCCACTACCCCAGCGCTCCAGGATGCAGCCGATGCCGCATTCCTCCACGATCGCCGTGAATACCTCATCCGCAAGGCGGAGCATGAGGTTGCGGTACATAACCACGACTTCGCGCTAGCGGAACGCGCCAATCGCCTGGCGCTCCTTGATGAATACAATACGGCCATGGCGGACTACCTCCCTCGGAGCATCGCGTGGGCCACTGCTGATAACCGCGCCTGCACCATCCTCCTCGGCGCACTCCCTGGTACCCTCATGCGCCGTTTCCAAGCTTGCGAGATGCGCGCCTCCCTCATCTGGGCCAAGCTCCAGGCGATGTTCGAGCGTCGCGACATCAGCTCTGTCGGCGCCCTGTTCCAGGAGTACTTCTCCATCACCCTCGCCACTTGTGATGGCGCAGTTGACTACGTGGGGCGCATGCAGGAGGTCGCTGATTGCCTTGCGGCACGCCAAGCTGCCCTCCCTGAGCCTCTGCAAATCCACCGCCTCCTCTACAACCTCACCCCGGACTACGAGTCCCGCCTCCATGCCTTCACTGAGGCCAACCCCATGGCCGGCCTCGACGATGTGGTCCAGTGGATCATTGACACGGAGGTCAAGCTTCGTACCCCCGTTGTCAACCTTACCACCCCTCAGTCCTCCTCCTCCACCTCCCTCAACGCTACGCAGCCGCGCAACCAGGGTGGTCGCAGCGGCGGCGGTGGAGGCCGTGGTGGTGGCGGTGGTGGTGGAGGCCGTGGTGGTGGCGGTGGTGGTAGTGGTGGCCGTGGTGGCCGTGGTGCCGGTGGAGGTGGTGCTGGCAGCGCCCCTGCTGGAGGACCTTTCGGTTCTGGTGGTGCTGTGACTCGAGGTGGACGCCCTGGCACTCTTCCCCCATGCCCATATGTGCGCCGCCATGGTCCCCATGCTGGTACCCCTTGTGGCCAGACCAACCATCCCCCCACGACGTGCTTTAAGGCACTCGATGACGCCTGGTTTGATCGAGGCAACACTGGCACCCCTCCTCGCTGGAACTCGATCGCACCTCGCCCCTCCTTAGTGGATATTCAAACCCTCCCCTCTTTCCTCCCTGCTCACCTCCGCATGGTTACCCCCTCCCCACCCTCACAGCTGCAGCAGTTTCTGCAGCACCAGCACCAGCAGCACCTGTACTTTCACCAGCAGCAGCAGCAGCCGCAGTTTCTCCAGCCCCAGCAGCCGCCGCCGCCGCAGTTCTTTCAGCCACCGCCGCAGCAGCAGCAGCAGTTCCTTCCCCCACCCTGGCAGCAGCAGCCACTCACCTTCGGCACGGCGGCCATGGCCGCTCATACCTCCCTTCCTCCACCTCCCCTCTGGGGTTCCCTCCCTCCCCCCCCCCCCCCCCAAGTGTTCCCGACACTTCTGGTAGTTTCCTTGGTAATATCAGTGTTGCACCGTCCGTTGCTGCCATGTATCCCTCTGCTATCAATGCGACTTCGTTTCAGTATCCCGTCCCACCCCCTCCTCCCTCTTCTCCCACCCTGGACTTTGTCCTTGATAGTGGAGCCACTGAAACCGCACTGAAAGATGCTGGCACTCTCACCCCACTACCACTTCCCACTCAGGTTCATGGAGCTGATTCCAGCTTTTCCATTCCATGCACTCACCTTTCCACCCTCCCTTGCACTGCCTTCCCCTCCGGTAAGGTCACAGGTCTCCACATCCCCACTCTCCGTAACAACCTCCTCTCCCACCGTGAGCTCCAAGGTGTTGGTATCACTGCCATTTACCCCGGTTATGCCAATTACTGTGATCTCTACCAAACCTCCTCCGATCGCTTCCTTCTCCGCATTCCGCTTTGCCCCCGCACTCGCCTCTACACACTCCGCACACCTCGCACATCTTTCTGCCACGTCACCACTCGTTCCGGTGCTTCCACCGGTCCACCTCCTCCTCCTTTACTTCCCCCTTCCCCTCCCACTCAAGTAACCTCTTCTCCCTCCCCACCATCCCCCTCCTCCCCTCCCGTTCCTTCCTTTACCCCATCTCCCTCCTCCTCCGCTGCCCTCTCCCACCCTGCTGTCCTCTTACACCACAGACTCGGCCATCCCAACTTCACCGCCCTTCGCACCACAGTCACCTCTCGCCTCCTCCGCAGCCTTCCTCCCGTCTTACCTCCCCTCCCCTCCTCCCCCTCTCCCCCATGCCCTTCATGCATTCACGGCAAGCTCAAACAGTCCCCCCACCACAGTCATCCCACCTTCGCCGCCGCCCCCATTGACCTTGTGCACATGGACCTCTGGGGCCCCTATCCCATCCGCTCCCGCCAGGGGCATCGGTACATGCTCGTCCTCGTTGACGACCACAGCCGGTACTCCACCACCTTCTTCCTTCACACGAAAGACCAAGTGCCGGCAGTGGTCATCAACTGGGCCGAACAGTGCCGCAATCACTTCAAACGCCCCATCGGCCGCCTTCACTCTGATGGTGGGGGTGAGTTCATCAATAACACCCTTGCCACATACTGCGCCACCTAGGGCATCCAAAAGACCTCCACCCTTCCCCACTCCCCTCAGCAGAACGGCATTGCTGAGAGCCGCATTCGTGAGATCACCAAGATTGCTCGCTGTCTCATTGCTCATGCCTCCACCCCTCCTTCCCTCTGGAGCTATGCCCTCCTCCACGCCGCTCTTCTCCTTAATCTCCGCTCCCACCCTCAGCATCCTTCCTCCTCCCCTACAGAGCTTTGGTCCAACGCCAAACCCGACGCTGCCGGCCTTCGCGTTTGGGGCTGCAAGGCCTTCGTTCTCATCCCACCCGCCGACCGCTCCCGCGCCGCTGGCAAGCTTGCTCCTCGCGCCCTGGAATGCGTTTACCTTAGGCACGATCGCGACTCCCTAGGCTACCTCTTCCTCCACCCTCCCACCAATCGCCTCATCCGCAGCGGCGACGTCGTCTTCGACGAATCCGTCCCCTATTACTCCACTCCTCCCCCTGATCCTCTCCCTCCTCCCACTCGTCCCCTTGCTTGGACCGACACCGTCCTCCCGCCCCTTCTCCCTCCAGCCCCTCTCCTCCCACCCGTCGCAGCTCCGCTCCCGCCCTCCTCCCCCGCCGATGTCTACGACCCTGCCGCACCCGCTTCCCCCGCTCACTTGGCCGCACCCCCTCCCCCCCCCTCCCTCCCCCTCTCCCTCTCCCTCCTTCCAGCAGCCGGATCAGCAGCAGCAGCAGCAGCAGTAGCAGCAGCCGCAGCAGCAACAACAGCAGCAGCAGCAGCAGCAGCAACCGGGACAGCAGCCGGGGCAGCAGCAGCAGCAGCAGCCGGGACAGCAGCAGCAGCAGCAGCCGGGCCAGCAGCAGCAGCAGCAGCCGGGCCAGCAGCAGCAGCAGCAGCGGCAGCCGGGACAGCAGGAGCAGCGGCAGCCGGGACAGCAGCAGCACCAGCAGCAGCAGCAGCAGCGGCAGCCACAGTAGCAGCAGCCTCAGCAGCCGCAACACCAACACGGTCAACCGCAGCCGCAGCAACAAGGGCAGAAGCTTCAGCAGCACCAGCGACAGCAGCGGCGTCGAGGCACCTCCCGTTCCTCCCCCTTCCTCCTCCCTTACATCCATACCCGCTCTGTGGACAAAATCCTTGGGGCTCCTCATCCTGCCTCCATTCAGCTCCTTGAGGACTCCCATGAGGAGTTTCTTAACATTCGAGAGCACACTCCATTCCTTGCCGCCCTCTACCTTGACTTCCTGGGCTTTCCCGTCCTTGGCGCCACCACTACCCCCACCATCTTCACTCCCTCCACCTTCTAGGAAGCCATCACCTGCCCTGATGCGGATAAATGGATGGCAGCGATCTTCCTGGAGTGTGAGGCTTTCATTCGCAACGACTCCTTTGTCGATGTCCCTCTCCCTGCTGGCGCTAATCTCGTTGACGGCAAATGGGTCTTTCGGGTGAAGCAGCTGCCGGGCGAGGAACCAGTGTACAAGGCCCGCTACTGCGCTAAGGGGTTCACGCAGACTTGGGCTGAGGACTACTGGTTCACCTACGCCCCCACCGCCAAACAACCCACCCTTCGCGCCGCCATGGACATTGGTGCACGTGACGACATGGAAATCGACTCTATGGACGTCTCCAATGCGTTCCTGCAGGGTGACCTGTATGAGCGCATTTTCCTTCGGCGGCCCCCCGGGTTCCACGCAGCCTTTCCTGAGAACACTGTCTGGCAGCTGCGTCGCCCCGTCTACGGCTTGAAGCAGGCGCCGCGTGAGTGGCATGCGAAGCTGGCTGCCACCTTGGGGTCTCTTGGCTTCTCTGCTTCCCACTCCGACGCCAGCCTCTTCATCCGCTCCTCCCCCCGCCGCTTCTTCATTCTAGTATATGTCGACGACATGATCCTGCTCTCTGACACCAAGGCCGACATGGAGCAGGTGAAGCTGTCCCTGCAGCAGCGGCTCAAGTGCAAGGACCTTGGCGCCCTCACTCACTACCTCGGCATGACCATCACGCGCAACCGCCCTGCTCGCACCATTTCCCTCTCCCAGTCCCATTACATCGGCCAGGTCTTGGAGAAGTTCGACATGACGCAGGCCAAGCCTGTCTCCAACCCGCTCCCCATTGGTCACCAACTCGCTCCACCCACCTCCCCCACCTCCTCCCCCCACCCCTACGCCGAGCTAGCCATTCTGCCTGTCAAACTATATATGCTGCATGTTGTGTAGGCTGTAGTGGGGTAGCCCATATGGGATACAACCCAATTAGGGTTTACTACTTGTACTTCTGCATGCTGCTAGTTTATCCATTCCTCGTTCATTCTCCTGACATGGTTCCAGAGCAGGTCCTAGCCTAGGACCGTTTTTTTCGGGCCCACCATTGCTTTGTGACCGACTACGGTTACCGCGTTACCCCACGCCCTGCCCTGCGCTGCACCGTCAGCGCGCGCCCTACGATGCCCTGCCTTGCGCAGGGCAGCGCGACGCCCTGCCCTGCCCCGCGTCGCGCTGCCTCGCGCACGCCCTGCCCTGCCCCGCGTCGCGCTGCCTCGCGCACGCCCTGCCCAGCCCCGCGTCGCGCTGCCCTGCGCACGCCCTGCCCTGCCCCGCGTCGCGCTGCATCGTGCGGAGATAACTACTACAACGGGAGCTAGACTACGGGCTAGGCACGGGTGCTCGTGTGATCTCTGCGTTCCTTGGTCCTTAGTCGGTTTCCTAGTGCTCACACTACTAGCTAGTTCACAAGGTAATCTGGCAAGAGTTTCACTAGAGAAAGGTTGACAACAATGGTACAATGAAGTTGGCAATGCAAGACTACATCAGAGCTAGCATTTAGGTCGGCCAACTGCCAGCGCAGCTTGGTCGACCGCGTTCCAGCACGACTTGATCGACCGCGCTCCAGCAGCGCAAGGACGACGGCGTGCCAACGTCGCAGGTTGACGGTGTGCCAGCGTTGCTCACGCAGGACAGCAGCGCACCCACTTCGCAGGTGCGCGCAGCTGATTGGCGGGCTGAGCCTCGTCACCCGCACAACGCACACACCACGTCAACCTCAAGCTGATGACTGCCTCTGATCAGCCACGACAACCTCGGGATACCACCACCGAGGTCGGGCTCGCCAACTTCGCCTGGGCGACCGTCGCACTCCTCTGCAGCACTTCGTCACCCAGGTAACCTGGTCGACCGGGCAACCATGTCGACCAGCTGCTCCCGTACGTGCCCGTCGACCTCCCAAGTCGACGACCACCTCCACGTCGACCACGCCCCTGGTCGACCAGCTCCAGGTCGACGTCCCTTCTGGTCGACCAGCACCACGTCGACCAGCAGTCCTGGTCGACTAACCACCAAGTCGACCAGCGCAGTTGTCGGCCGACCACCCACGTCGGCCACCCGAAGTCGGCGTCACGGAGTTGACGCCCCGCTACTCGACGCCCAACTGCTCGGCGTCCTGAGTCGAGGTCAACGTCGGCCCCTCCTTTGTCGACCACCAGGTCCAATCGACCACCAGCAGGTCGACCAGCAGGCCTAGTCGACCAACCACCAGGTCGACCAGCAGTCCGTCAGCCGACCACCGAAGTCGGCTTCTCCAAGTTGACGTCACATGGTTGAGGTCCTCTGCAGGTCGACTCCCAAGCCGACCTCCCGGAAGTCGGCGCCACCCTGAAGTCGGCGCCCGTGCAGTGGTCCCCGTGCAGGTCGACCTCCTCGTCAACCAGCTTGCCCACTGCTGCAGGTCGGCTGCTCCCCACACACCCGACCACGAAGTCGGCTCCGCCCAAGCGAGGACGGGGCCAACACACAACTCCCGTTGACACTCCCCTGCCGCGTTCACGCTTGGGCCCCCAGCCCACACGGCAGTACTCCTCAGAGAATAGCTCGTCGACATGCACCCAACACACAGCACGTCGTCCACCGCACAAGCCATGCAAGAGGGCATGGCACCTACTACTGTAC